CTTTGCAGAATATAATAAAGATGAACATGCTCTTCTTATTGCTTTTCATCATTGTTGGCGCTACCTTCTAAAATTATATTTGTGATTACTCTTATTGATCTCTGAGTGAACAGGTCAATGCTAAAGCAATCATGGTACTGGCTCTCCCATGAATTTAGTCTCATAGCTGACCAATCAGATCAAACTTATGCCTGAAATTTCTCATTTTTAGGAGTATTGAACTACAGGACCCCAAATTATGAGGTCAATTGGTGATTTAAATCACGTCTTTTGAAGATTGGAAAGTTAACTTTTATGGTACATGCTATTATATTGAATAATTCTGGTTATGACCTCCTTTTGGTGAATCAAAATTTTACAGGAATTTGATGGGATCATTAATTACCAAAACTATTCTCTATCCCTTTTGGGGTATTGAGTCACATTACTTTTACCTGAACATGCCTTATTGAACATGCCAAGCGTCGTGTTTAGCTATGGGAAGGGAAAAATAGGTCCTATTCTATCCAATATCATGTTGAAGGACATTGAGTGCAATTACCCCCAAAATGGCTGACATCAAATAGGGTTTGCCTATTTTCTTCACTAATGCCTTCATTATTCCTCTGAAATCTCGGGCTATTGTTGACACTTTTACATTTTGCTATTCCCAAGGGTTATTTATTGCAAATCCAGGGCTTTTAAAACCATTTTGTTAAAGAGATTTTGTTTTGACTAGGGGTGTTACACTATGCCTATTTATAAGAATTACTTGTCTTACTGGCGAATCTAACTAATGAGCAGAAAAACTTTGGATCAAACAACTCTGATAGCCTATGTTACACTATTGCCCCTTTCTAGGCTTTATGACGCAAAAACTTTTTGGGAGTTTACAAGATTTTTGGATTGGAACCCATTCAGAAAAATTCATATCGTGGGTCCTGATATTGAAAACATCTTACTACAGAAACAAAATACTAGTGAATCAACCACTAGAGGAATATTCAGATATTTTCACTAAGCACACCTAAGATTTAAGTAAGATGAAAGGAGTGACACAAGTCATCGAAACTGGGGAGCATCCTCCCATTAGGGCTAAGCCTTATCATAAGTCAAAGGTTGAGGAGGCGCAGGTCACCAAGGAATTGAATCAATTATTGGAAGCTGGATTATTGAAACCCTCTAATAGCCCTTGGGCTCACCATTGCTATTGGTGAAGAAGAAAGGTAGCTTCAATAGATGGTTATGGATTATTGTAGGTTAAATGCAATTACTTGTCAAGACAGCTTTATTACCAGGGATTAACTATTCCCTCTATTTTCTTTCCGGCTCTACCTACTTTTCTACGATGGATTAAGCCAGTAATTACTGGAAGATCAAGTTAGCTCCAGAAGACCGGTCCAAATGTTATCTGATTTCTAGTGAGGGCTTGTATGAACCAACCTGTATGTCTCAGGGGTTGAGCAATGCTCCTGCCACTTTTCAGAGGGCCATGGATGGAATGCTCTGAGACTTAAAAATGATCTGTGTCCTGATAAATTTAGATGAATCATGTCTTTGAAGACTTTTACTGAGCATTTGGACCACATATGAGAAGCTTTAAGATGAATTAGGGGTTCTTCATTAAAGCCTAAACCTTCCAAATGTTCCATATTACAGAATGAAATTAAGCTTTTAAGTCACAAGGATTTAACTAAATGAACTTAAATTCTTCTGGACAGATTTGAGGACATTAGTCAAATGTCTCCTCTGGCCTCTTTTCATGATATACAGGCCTTCTTAGGTATGGTCAGATAGATTCCCAGTTTATACCTATATTTGCCGATTTTGCTGAACTTCTATTCCATATGTTACAAAAAGGTGTATCCTTTGAGTAAGCTCTGCTCAAGAGCAATCTTAGATTTCTCTCAGATTTGCTTTAACCAGAAACTTCTGTTTTAATTCACCCATAGTTTGATAAGCCTTTTATTATGCATATGGACATGACTAGTTTTGCTATTAGAGCTATCCTATCTCAATACACAAGGATCAAATTGACCAATCTGTGGCCTACTAGAGAAAACCCTTATCCAGCTGAGCGGAATTACAGTGTAACCAAATTTGAGTGTTTATCTGTAATTATAGCATTTATTCACTTCTGACCCTTCTTATATGGCAATCATTTTTCTGTCGTTAATGACCATTCTTCACTGCGTTGGTTGCAAAATAAGAAGGATCTGGATGGAAGGCTAGCTTGTTGTTCCTTACAATTGCAAAATTATATTTTTTCGATTGTCATTGTTCAGTTAATAAACATCAAAATACCAATGGCCTATCTTGGTTACCTAATTTTATTTTGGATCCCAAGAAGGAGGAAAGATTATATGAACTAATTTGAGGCCTGAGATGAGGGATAAAGAATCTGAAGAAAAACGAGCCTTTCTTAAGACCATTACTAAGGACACTAGATACAGAAGGGGTCTTTGTAAAAGAAGGTTAACTCCAAATGGTTACACTTTTTACACCCAAGCTTGCGGTTTAATGCTATTATAGAGGGCACTTTCAGGTAGGTCATATTGGCTTAAAGAGAAATCAGGAGTTGTTAAAAACCAGATACTAGAATAACATGACCACCCAATGGTAGAGTATGGATTTGATGAACACTGCCTCCTGAATTTGATCCCAGTAGATGAAATTTAGGTAGGGGACAATTATGACTGTGTTGGTGTTGCGTACCAATGCCCTGAACTGAGATAGCAAATAGAGAGGCGGTCCATGGAGTTTCTGGCCTATCATATGCCATGCGTGGAGGTTTTCCAAGTTTTATTTTCCTTTCCAATTCATTTGATTCCCATAATTGGTGTGTTATCATACTTGGTTGGCCCACCTCAAATAAAATTTAAAAATAAAAATTAGACATAACATGACTGCTTTAATTAAAAAACTCTTGATGCATGCCTCATCTGTAAAAGCCATGGTGTCTATAACCCAATTTATTAACATCATGTGACCCACCATCTAAGGCTTTCAAAATGATAAGTATCGATGTGTTAGGACACTTTCCTCAGGGTTTTCATGGCCTCAAGTACATTGTTATAGCCGTTGACCATTTTACTAATTAAGAAAGGCCATCTAAATTGCTACTCCCTCTGCCAAGACAACTTCATTGTTTATTTACTGCCAAATTATTACTCATTATGGGCTCCCTAGGGTCCTTATGTCAGCAATGAAACAAATTTCAATTTTTATCTTTTACAAGGGTTGTCAAAGTTATTTAATACTATTTAACCGTTTAATGCTCCTTATCACCCAACAACTAATATGCCATTAAGCAAGTCAACGGGAGTAAGTCTCCATTTTGAAAAGATGGCCTCCTCTGATCCAGATTGGTGGAACTTCTATTCACCTAGTGCTCTGTTCGCCTAACTAATCAGTTACCATCATAATATCAAACTATTGCATTATAAGTGTATTTCTGTGCGAGATCATTAAGTTCCCTTGAGTGTTCAGATGATACAAGATGATAGTGTTCCATAGGACTCTGATTTGGTTATGAGAAATCTGGCTGATGAAATTATTCACCTCTAAGCTCAAGCCATGGAGTCAATTGAAACGACTACCAAGAAGGAGACCCTAAGGAGTAACCATCATAAGCACGCTTTACCTGAGTATCAGATTGGCGATTAAGTGACGTAATACCACTCTCCTTATGGATGAAATGAGAAGTTAGAATCTGATTGTCTAGTACATATTGAGTCATTTTCATTAAAGGGCTCAAGTACTCTAATTCACATGTTGACACAGGTATAATTGAAGTCATGTACATCTAAGATTATAAGAACTCATCCTCCTCTAAGATAAAATCTTGGGGAAAGTGCTGGGAGTTTGCCAAATTATTCTGTTTCCAAATCTGTTACTCTAAATATTCCTCTGCTGGTCACTGAGGGGGAACTTGGTAAAACTGATCTTATCAAGTTTTATAAAAACGTTCATATTACCCTGATCTTATAATTTCAGAAGATTTGATCTCTCAGAGATTAGTAAGTCTTATCAAAGGCGAGCCTCTTCAATACCTATAATATAAAGTCTTTTCCAAATTATAAAAAATTATGTCTATTCATGAGCAGATACTTTATATTAATTTTCAATTCTTTATTTTGGAGATTCCACCAAATTAACTTTATGAGAATACTTGCCATTTTTCAGGTGTAATTCAAACTTTGAAAATGTGGAACATATCTTAATGCTCAAAATTATCTGCACAGTTATTGCCATCTTTATTAAGCTCCCTAACGCCCATATCCAAGGTGAGCACAATTTTGAGAACTATTTTGGTTCCCTTATTGTAGATCATGACCTTTACCCTGAATCTCCCTTGAGTGATATTGAGCCTCATATTGATAATGCCCATAAACCCTTTCTTTCCACCTTGACATGCACCTTGCTTCAGGATGACTTAGCTGGAGAATTTCACATGATCCCTTTATCAACCTCCACCATAGCCAGCTAGTAGTTCACTGTTGCCAGCCTGTTGGTTCTAGGTTTGTTTGGTTTTTGTGCCAAACTTGCTCACTTTAGCTCTTTAGTCCCTCTTACATTTTATCTTATATTCTTTTGGTAATGTCTGCCTTTGGTTGGCTTATCTCTTATAAATGAAAACAATATGGACCACAGATTGACACAAACTATACTTATAGATATCTTAGCACTGATGAGGCAAGATTATTAGATAAATGGACCTGGAAGAGAGCAGTTTCTAAGGCTAATTGCTTCTTAGCTGATAACATGTGTTTTTGTTTAAGGTATTAGTTTAAAGAGGATGGTAGGATAATTTATATTGGATATAACATACAAATGTAAAGGAGTTTCCTTGGTTAGCTTATGTTATAAAGAAAGTAGCCTGATAAAATTTATGTTAAGGGTTGTAAAAATAATTCAAAGAATTTCTGATGTATAGGTCAAAACGGGAAATTAAATTATTGGTACTAAATAGTTTTTTAGACAATAAGATCTCAACTTAAAGAATATATTTATTAATTAGTTAATTATTATATAACTCTTGCGGAATCAAACCACTGACCTTCCCCTTACTAGGGGGACGCTCTGACAAATGAGCCATATTATTTTATTAAAAAGATACAGCAGTAGCAGGTACCACCCTGCATGCCAACCACCCAAATCTTCTACATAACTTCATATCAATAATTAATTAATTAATGATATGAGGGGATGGAGGAAATTATAATCGCCCTACCAAGGACAGATTTTGAACCTGTTAAAGCATTTTTACCTCACCATAGCTTGCGGTTACAATTTTTTAAATCTTCATACTTTATTTAAGAAATATTAAAGGAACTAAGAGGGGAGGGCAGAACAGGAGAATCAGCTGAAGATAAAAGACTGTGAATTTAGGCCACTATGGACCTAGCACTTCTGACCAGTGCTGACACTGATCACCATCACTAGCCACGGTTTTAGCATGGTTAGGCTTAGAGGACAAAATTTTTTGATCAATTTGTTGCTTTGTTACATGCAATGAGTGATCTAGCAGGAAAAGGCAAACATGCGGCTTTGTAAAAGCCAGGGATTAGGTGCAAGAATTTCGTGATCTGTGAGATCTGATTGGAGATAATTCAAATAGTCTTCAACACCAAACCTTTGTGATGAGGGCGCTCATGGGCCAAACTCTTGGCAACAAGAGCTGAGTTTATCACCCATACATATAAATGTAGATGAAGGCTTGTAGTTTGATTGGGGATAATTGCAGGGTTTTCACAGAAAAAGGTCCAGTGATGGATGCATTTCTATCAGCAATTGTTTGTCCAACAGGATGTAGCACATTGTAGACCAATATTTTTGAACAAAGCGCATTATAATATCAGTGAGTTATATCAGCTTACAGCATGGCGCATACAGGGCACTCCTTGTGTGGGTAATCTGGTCCACTGTGTTTACCAGATGCAAACGTGTGGTGAAGGATCTGCCAGTTTACCAACCTTTTCTTGGTCATTAACAGTCAGGAGTTCAGGCCTGAGATCAACTCCTTCATTTGGAAGTTGGTGTTATGACTTTCAGTTGCCCAGTCATTCAAGATTTGTGGTTAAGAAGGCTTGTAATTACAGGTGTGCGCAACTACACCCAGTTGACAATTGGCCAAAGAGGCATGTTATTAATTAGGCTACTAGAAATATATCAATAATTTTATAGATGATGAGTACTATAAATGCTTGAATGGTTAGAATAGAGCAGGATGTACAACCATAGTTTGGATTAAAGCATTAGATCTGCGTTTCCAATGCCGTCAAGCACTATTCTGAAAAATTATTTGTTAATCAATTTATAAATCCCAAAATGGATAGCTTAATGTCAATGACTGGGAAAGATAGGGTTATAGGGGCCTTATGAATTTTTCACTGATATAAAAATTAGGTTAATTTTCACTTAATCTTATTGGTTAGTGGATTGATAGGGAGACAGTCGATTCTCATTTCAATGGATCACAGATATGGCATGGTCAATAAAGATTGTTTGATGCTTTAAGACTTTCTAAAAAGGATTCTAGAAAATAGAAGAGATAGTCCACTGAGTCAAAATCAAAAAACTTTATACTAACTTTTGGCTGTATTTGGAGCAAATTAAGGTAAAAAACTTTTGTTTTAACGTTACCTATACTATGGTAAATTTTTGAATGATTAAGTTTAGGTATATAATAAGGAAAAATCACATTGATTTGATAGCTCAGAGCCACCTTTTGACTAATTTAAATATATTAAAATCCTGATTACTAATAATATAAGATCATAATAGCTTAAGTATATCACAGTCAATTTCTATAAATCAATGTTGCAAAAGGAGTTGTTTTGGCTTTCAACAAAAAAGTAAAGCAAAGTTTTTATCTTTAAATGATCTTTGAATTCCTTTTAGCACTGAAAATACCTATACACTAAAGTTTTTATATGTTTAATATAATAACGTGACCTAAATAAGTTTACTAATTATCCTGGTACTTTTTGTCACATATCTCCTTATTTAAAACAATTTAACATATAATCATCCTTACCAAGAAAAATACCAAACTTTTAACTTCTTGATATGAACTAGCACATGTCATTGTATATAAAGAAGCTATATTTCCAATTGCTTTCCTAAGATAGCTAGGATCTCCTGAAACAAACATCTCTGAGACCTGTAAACTTTCTCTTTGTTAAACCAACATCTGTACAAAGATTCTATGTACCTTATAATAGAATGAAAGACAGTTTTGAAAAGATGTTGTCTAACATAATCAGGTGATTTTTATCTAAGAAAAACCCATAAAAGCACAAATTTATTTTATGTAGTATATTTTTTAGGTCAAATATACTTATATATTTGAAAATCACATCACTATTAACTTAATTAAATATCAATGTGACATGATTTTTTTTCTTTCAATATAAGTAAGTTATTATGACAAATTTTAGAGTTGACATATTACCCATTAGTGATATATTAATGCAAAAGTTATAATAATGCAACATTTATCAGTAATAACAATCAAAAATTTATTCCTACTACCTCAAGGTAGTACTAAGTTTATGTCTTTTAATAAAAAATTAATATTAGTAGTTAAACTATAGACCCTTATTGACTTAGGTAATAGCATAATGAACAATACTATTAATAGTTTAAATATTAATAAGATAAAGATGTATTGTTTTATTGGTACCTGCAGACAAAAAACTTAAACTTAATTAGCCATGGCAATTCCGATATAGTTATGCAAGAGTAACCCATAAACTTCAGATTACATAGACTATCATTTTTCTATATAGCAATGAAATTATCTAATATTCAAGAGATGATATAAAACAAAAAAGCTTTTCCCCTTTCTAAAATTCAGAAAGAACTGTCATAATGACCTTAAATATTATTGACAGGATATACATTTTAATTAACCTACGCCAAAATGCTATGTATAATAGAACACCTGCTTAGATGTTTTTTCATCACTCAGATTTAGTTTAAGGTCTCTTTCATCTTTATCTTTTGCTTTACCACATCCTACTAGTTCTTAGTCAACCCACCTTATTTATTTTATTTAACTGAGGTAACCCAAAAAGGAGATGGACATTACCAAAACTAAAGCCTAAAATAAATCCTCTCCAAATAAAATTAACAAACTGCCCAAAATGAGCAGATGACAAACATAATGTGAACTCAACCAACCAGTTGGACAGCGGGAACTGCGTATCCCATCATGGTGGAAGGGGGGGGATCAGAGGGCTCATCCTCAGCAGCATCTTCATCCCAAAGCAGGGCATGGGATACAGTGGTGAGCAGGGGCGTCGGGAAGTCGTCAGGATTTAGAGGTATTTAATGATGATTGTTGTTTTAGGAATACAGCCGTTATACATAAAAGTTCTGATGTAATTTGACAAAACTAGTTCAGCTTTCATGCGTGTGTTGGGTAGTTTTTTGAATGTGGTAATATTGATGCGGGTAATATTTCTTTTAGGATTCCACACTACCTCTGCCACGTGTTGGATGGCGTCATTGGAAGCTTTGTGGGCTTCAATCAACATTTTTTTGCCTTATTGGCTTTGGAGGGAATACTGGGAGGAGGAATTCCTCCTGCGAGCATCACCACTGATTTGGCAGCAGCTTTGCGGAGAGGATGACAATATGGCTTAGCCATTACTTCAACAGCAAGCTGGTGGTGGCCTCAGAACGTTTTGGCGTTTTCTGAGGGGTGTATGTTCGAAATGGGTAGCTTAGTATCTTGGTCAATATACACAAACTGCTCAATTTGTATATTGCGGTCTTCAATTATATGCCAGGGCTCATCAATTTCAGCCAACAGATCCCAAGGATTTTAGTTGAATTAAATTGTGGAGTTGGCATATTCCTGAGGTTTGGTTGGTTAATTGGAGGATGCATGATTGAACTGGGGTACAATACTGAGCTTGATTGGATGGAGCGTTTATGGCATTGGAGTGAGGAGGAGGCTTATTGGTGGCTGTTGGCAAAGCTGCAGCAACATGCTTTGGGGGAAGGGGAGGTAGGATAGTACCCCATACAAAAGCTGGCGCAGGGTGGGCAGTGGATTGGAGGCTGGTGGACAAGAGATCAGCGTTGTCAGAGGCAGCTAGGGCTGGGCACTTGCGTTTTGAGTGGTCCAACTCAGGACAGGATGGACAGATCATATGTCTGCCCTCATTGCAGGCCTAGAACAGATGGTCAGGGGCAGAGAGGATAACATTGTGAAGGGGAATTGACAGGAAAATTTATTTATTTCAGGGCTGATCATGCCATATGCCTAAGGCTCAGCGAAGCATGTGTCCCATTTGGGACCACAAAGTGCAAGTTGGGGTTTGTGCCATAGGCTTCCAAACCTTTCATCAACTCCTGGTGGAGCACTTCAGGGGGAAGGTGGGTGGGCAAACCACCAAACTGAACCACCAAAGTGGCTTCACTGGAAGCAGGGTCCAGATTGTGGGGAGAGGGGTACCATGGAAAACCAGGAGCACAGTTTCTGCAGTGGTGGCATCAGCTTCACATTTGAATCCAAGATCAAAATACCCCTTATAGGGGTGAAAGTCAATGAAATTGGTGGAATGCATCAACGCCTAGCCATTTTGATAATGGCTTGGTCATGGTAGGGGAAAAGTTTCCCATAGTTGACCCTAAGGCTGAAATGCATGTTGCTCTGGGGGAGCACCAGGGGGCAGCGGGACACCACTTGGGGTTGAGCAAGGTGGATGTCAAGATAATTGGGAGGAACAAATCATCCCAGGGGTTTGGTATGACTAGTGAGCCAATCTGAGCGTGTTTTCCTGTCAGACTGAAAATGGCGGGGGCTTTTTGCTGCTGCCCAACACTGGGGCAGCTGGCGGGAATCTGAGGACATCAGAGAAAAACTACAGCGGTCAATCAAGATTTACTTTTTTATTCATATAATTTTCTTAGAAAATTATGCCGAGTGGAAAGAGTCAAACCACCTTATTTAAAATTTAAAACTTACTGATGTGCAGTTCTGTTTTTAATATTAGTTTGGGTAATGTAAACAATGGGGCTATAGATGTGCACAATAGTGACAAAGTAAACTCTTTATGACAATGTTGAAAAACATAATTAGAAAACTAT